GAGGGTTGCCATGGTAATGTCTCCCCGTATCAGACCCTTTTCAGAATATGAGACTATATTGAGTGTGCTTCATTTGACCTTGGCTGATTCGTGCTTGTACTGGTTTATACAGGGAGTGGAGGACGCCTTCTATACACTGGTTCGGGAGATTAGACAGCACAAGTTGCGGAAGCTGAACCCGCCCGATGAAAGTGGCCAGGACTGTATGAGCTGCCGCTGTGTGGTGTCTTGATACAGGTGGGAAACTCAATGTTTGTTTATAAATTGTTTTAGGGCCTGGTTTCCTGGTTCTTTATGTACTGAGCTGTTGACAATAAAACAGACAGATATTTTTCTCAAACTGGAGACAGTAGCATGTATACAGTGCTTGTTTTAGACAACTTGATTAAAGCTAACAAGATTTCTGTCTGTGCCCAAATTACTAACCTGGTTAAGTATTTAAAAAGAATTCTCATCCTTTTAAAACACAGAGTGGCCTGTCCATTGTAGTTAGCACAGGAGGAAATTAAATGTACTAGTTATATGATTACAAAAGCCACTGTTGATCACCCTATACAGCTACTATATTTGGCGAAAATGAAGTCTTATCTTATCGTACTAACAAAAAAATACACCTTCGTGTAACTAAATGGTCTCTCTTTTTCTCCACAGCCAGTGGTGTGCATTTAGCAGACTTGCAACGGCTTTATTGGCAGCATGGACTTGAAGATGAAAGCTATAACAACACAATTGTAACTTTTCAAAATGGAGGACAATGATTGAATGAACTGCTCTGAAGGAAATCACCGGCGCTGTCAGACCTGGGAGGACTTGGACTGTTGCCTGAATGGTTAGGTGAACTGGCCCTCGGCGGGCCTCTATTTTTGGTCTGCCCACGACCTCACGAGCAACACCACTAATGACTTTTGTCAACTCCAATGTATTCTCACTAGTGAGTGCCACAAGTTTCCTGCTAACTTGTTGTTTTCAGTCTCAACACTGGTCTTTAAAGGAGGCATCTCTTACTCCACTCCCCTTCTCTTCCTGGCTGCCTACTAGAACGAAAAAGGATTTGACTGGAATAGACATTAGGTTGCTCCATAGCCTCCGATGTTGACACACTACCTGTCTTTGTTTTCTCCCCCTGTGTAGTGCCTCCTTCATTCTCGACACAAGGAATGGAAACTTTAATACAAATGACTACTTTGGTTGTTGTTTAAGTTAAGCCTTGTGGTTAAAAAAAAGATTTTGAAATGGACCAGTCTATTTACAGAACGTCCAAGAGCACTGTGTGAGTAAAAGTATTTTTTTTTTTTTTTTTTTTTTTTTTTTTGATGGCACCTTGTCTGACCCTTTAATAATCAGTCAGGCATAGTAAGAATTCCTTTGAGGTAGGTTATGTTGATTGGAGATCTGTTCGTTCTCAATCACAAAGCTGCCTTCTTCATGTTGTGGAATTGTAATGGCAAGTGTACGTACATAGAATCCGGTGCAATAGATAGAAATCCCTTGCTTTCCAGATCTTAATATAATCTAATATTCTTTGCTACTTGGGTACAGTGCATGAGGCCATAAAATGCCTTTGTTTTTAAAAGCAAGTCTTGTTTTGTTTATTCCCCTTAGCCTTCTCCCTTTCAGGATCACCAAAACAAATGATCTGCCTCTGCATTTATTTGCCTATTAAGTTGACATAGTTTTTTCTCATTTATCCAGGCTTGGGACTGATGCAAATAACTGAATGGTGTACCACGTGGATTATCTTGCATTGTGTGCTCAGGAATCAGGGTCCAGGAGTGTAGCATTCATACAATCCTGGGTGTATTAGTAAAAGATATACTCTTTTAGTCAGCTCTTTCTATCTTTTGCTTTTCAAAGGGAACAATAATCTATGTCACAACACGATCTACTGTGCACACGTTACCAGGTAATGGATGTTCTGGGATCTTTGTTTCTTATATTACCGCCTAGATAGTGCTCTATACTTAATGCCCGAAGACTGTTTACTTTGCCTTATTGGTTGGCTCATTTGTACCTCATGTATGCAGCAGACTCTAACTGTTATGGTCAGATTTTGCTGCCCTTTTTGGTTAATGTTTGTGTGTTACTAAAAATCGCAGAATCATGATGAGATGTGCTCTATGTGGATTTGACAAGAAAACCTCACATTACACTAAAGTGAATTTTAATAATGCTTGTTATTGTTGTATTATAAAAAAAAATGTATTTTGACTTGACGATGGGTTTCTGAATATTCATGGAAACTGGTACAAACTAGTATGTCATCATGGCTGAATTTTTATTGTATCTAAGAAAAAAAAAACATTTCAAATCAAATCAAATTTTGTGCAGACTAGATATTTGGATTTCCCATATAGCAAACCTTCAGCATTTCATGGCATTAATAATTTGTGTAGTTAATATTGTAACTGGCGAAGATGAGAACTGTGAATGTCTGTAGATATAGTTAAAACTTGCTCCAAAATATTAACATGGTTGCATTTGCTTTTTTTTTTTTTCATTTAAATACTTAGATATGACCTCCTATTCATTTTTATACCCTTTGTACTTAATGATTTTATGTGGAGAAGATGAAAGGTTTGATTAATGGCCTGGGAGTTCATGATCCTTCTCCAGTCCACCACAAAGCTATGCAGAAGTATACTCTTAGAACAGCAGCGTCATGTTGCCAGTATCCACCAACAAACATCAAGTATATGTAATAAAAAAAAAAAGAAAATACAAATAAAACTGGCACGAATGACAGACTTTTGCACATTTCTTTCTTTCTTTTTTGAGGATAAATATACAAAAATATCTACATTTTAAAACAATCAAGATCAGGATTTATTTTAGTCGTTTAATACAACCTTTTAATATCGGGTGACGCTTTGGAGCCATCTCATCTATTTTAATGTAAGTGAATACATATGCAGAGCTGGCATAAATCAGCAGACAGTTGGCACCAAAATAATCTGGCTCCAGACCTGTACCCAGAGGACCCTACCCCACAGGCTCTTTCAGGACGCCCCTCCAAAAGACTTGCCTCCATTCACAGTAAAACGGCAGCCATGAGATTTTCTGACTGCCTTTCTCAACATAACATTATAAAAGTTAATTGTTTTAACTGCAGTGTACAGTGATGGTTAACAGTACTACAAATAATCATTGTTATAACAGTTCCCTGGTTGTAAGTATATAAACATGCACTGTGTAATTTCTGTGTGTGTCCATGGAGATGTCATTGCGTTGCCTAATGTTCCACAGTATGGCATTAAACGCATGTAAGTCAATGGAGAAGCAAGTGACAATAACTCGCCATGCAGTCAGACCTGTGGAGAAAGACCACATGTTTTGGAAAATTAAAAACATCTACAATCAAATAAATGCTACCTGCAATAAAAAAAAGTTTAAAGTGGAACATCTGGGGCAAAATCAAACATCTCCATGGAGACAAGCAGGTGAACAGAAAAGTTACATAGTGCATGTTTAGTTATTCAAATGGTCAGTAGAAGCAGCATGCAAAGCTCAGGCATTTCATTAAAAAAAAATCAATCAAAATGTTAAGAGTCCACAACATTTATCTAAAAAAATGCAAACTTTTGGTGCAGTGCTTTACAGGCATTAAAGGTGCACTGTGTAACTTTTTGGTTGGGGGTCCATCACATGTTTGTTTCTATGGATATGTCATTGCTCTGCTTGGAATGTTCCACAATACGACATTAAACAGCTCTACCTTACAGTTACTGTAAACATACCAAGAAAAACGGGGATTCTGATTGTGACTGGCTTGCCTCTCCACAGATCTAACTTGTAACTTGGTCTAGTTTGGTCTCTATGACGATAGAAAGGTTTAATATCATACTGTGAAACATTCCAGACAAAACAATAACATCTCCAAGGAGAAAAGCATTTGACGGACACCAGAAAAGTTACACAGTGCACCTTTAAAGCATTACTATGGCAAAATAAAATATTCTGTTTTGCACAACACTTTTATCAGTGGAGTAGAGACCTGATCTCTGGGTTCAAGGGCTTGTTGCTCTTTGTTTATTGTGAATGATGCAGGTGTGGAAGGATTATGTGAAAAGGTCAACTGTTTTAGCTATTTAAGATGTATATAGGCTACTCTTTACAGATGTGGCAGTAATAAAGATGTCAAGATGAGAATGGCTTTGATATTTTCTTTTTTTTTTTTAAACCTAATTTGTTTATATAGCGTGTAAACATATCTTAATGCTTGCTACAAGATAACTACAAATCTTTGCTACCATCTAGAGGCGGTTCTCATTTTAGCAAGATGTTTCATGAAGTGGTGTATTAATCTTGTTTGACGCAGTAAGACTGGGGAGTGGCAGCAATGAAAGTTAAGTGTACTGTTCCAAATGTGGGTTTACTCATCCTCATTACACATTTATTATCACTAACCAGAAAAACATAGTCAACTTACCGTAGCAGTTTGGATTCACTGATTTACAGTTTACAAGATCTGATGGGACAATCCCTTTTCTGAAAAACTGTCTCTTTAAAATCACCTTTGAATATCTTTATCTTCTGTTTGTCTGTTTGGGTATGAAAAGTAATAAGTGCTACCTACGTACAGACCTATTATTGTTATTATACCATTCCAACGGACCATGCGTGGTCCTTTGTACTTGGAAATTTCATGGATCGTAAAATATTAACAGAAGTCTGCACTTCTTTTCAGAGTCAGCCATTCTGAGTAAAATCTGGACCAGCTTGTAATAAATTAACATGAAAATTCACAAAAGTTCAATAGGACTTTTATATTCAAAATCACAATATTGGAGTGCTGCACTGGATCAAAAACTTACGCATACAGGTGCTCACTAAACCGGAGGGCTTAGATTCTTATGGAATGGACTTTTATATTAAATCCACCTGGACTTTTTGGTCTAATTACAAATTCTCAATCTGCTGTCTATCAAATCATACCTAGGAATTCCAGCTCTAAATATAGTTTATACCTATTTTATACCTATTATCTATACCTATTTACCCAAAATAATACAGACGGAATTTGATATCTGGCCTTTGAAGAGCCTGTTCCCACTTAAAATTAAAGTAGATAATTGCAAATTCATTCAACTATAATTAAAACTATAAATTATAAACTATAATTAAAAAACAAACATGATGTGTTTTACCTGTGAACTGCTGATTAAAGCAAGCATGTTACTTACATTCACTAGTTTGCGTATATTTTTTTGAGTAACTCTTTCAGTTCTGTACACACAAAGTAGTTTTACACATCATATTAGTTGAGTGTTTAATCTATTTTTCTAGGTTGCAGTGAGAAGTCTGTATTTGTTGTTTGTCACTGACCTACATGCTGATTTTAGGCCAGCTGATAGACACCAAAGACAATGTCCCTTTGGTCATCAACAGCCATAAAAGTAGTTAGACATTAAACCAAACCTGCAGATAACACCATACGTGTCATATTCTCTTATACACAAACTGAGAAAGCACTGGCTGTTTTGAGCTCTGATCATGTCGTCTGTAGAGAAGATTAGAAAAATGCTGCCAAAGGTAAGTAACTTCAACAATAATTTAAAGGTGCATTGTGTAACTTTTCCAGTGGATGGTCCGTCAAATGCTTTTCTTCATGGAGATATTATTGCTTTTTTTCACAGTATGATAATAAACCTTTCTAGCTTCATGGAGATCAAACCAGACCAAAATACAGGTCAGATCTGTGACCTGCGATCTCTTTTTCTAGGTATTTTTGAGCCATAAAACCACCTGTATCTGCTGAAATGTAAGGTAGATCTGTTTAATGTCAAACTGTGGCACATTCTAAGCAGACGAATGACATATCCGTAGATGCAAAAAGATGACAGATGCCTGACCAAAAAGATACATAGTGCACCTTTAAATAACTCTTTATATGCTACTGTGAATAGACTTGTCAACTGAATTTCTTGTGCTGAAGACCTACCCTCGGAGAATTGTTGCCGAAGACATAAACACAGCACTGACTCATTTTAAAAACCTTACACCTGCCATGAACACATATGGTGAGATATTTAGATCTTTTTGAGTATAGGCTTATGCTGACCCCTGTTTTTTTAATTATTATGTTATTATGTGCAGTATACAATGATGGAGTTACTAAGAATTTAATGTGCCTATCTGGAACTATTTCTACAATATTTAACAGTGAGTATTTTTAAACAGTAACCTTCATAACATAACATAACATAACATAACAATAGTGTTTATAGATTTTTGTGTGTGTGTTCAAGGCAATATTTACAACACCCCAGTGTCTGTGTGGCTCGAGGAAAGCTATCCACAAAGTGCTCCTATTGTGTACGTCCAACCTACTAAAGAAATGATGATTATTAAAAGATCATTTGTTTCCAATAATGGGGAGGTCCAGCTGCCATATCTAGAGGAGTGGAAACAGGTAAGAGATCAAAAGATCAATCATCAGATCAACTGAACTTTTTGAGTATTTTCATCATTATTTGTTTATTTTACTGTACTGTAATAAATCAGGTGTGTCTTCTTGTCTCGCCACAGGGTGAATGTGATCTGGTCAGCTTACTACAGGTGATTGCTGCAACATTTGGAGAATTTCCACCTGTTTGCATTAAGCCATATCAAGAATCCGAACAAGCACCATGTAGGTAGTCAACTACATACAGTGGAAAATTTCCACTATAGCATATTATCACTATGCTACTATACTACTATACTACTATACTATCTAGTGGTGTCTATTAATCAAACAAATTACATTTTAGGTTGGCTCCAGTTTCACAGAGAATACAACATTTATTCCAGACCAGATGGAAGTTCATATCTGTCTGTGTCCAAAGAAGATGACCAACCTTTCCATCAGGATCACGAAACCAACTGCTAGTGGTATTATTACCTGATTTATTTATTCTGTTTCTCTGAGCAGCTGGTGTCAGGGGTTCACAATGGGTATTTGGATTTGATGAAATAAATAAAAAGCTGTGAGTCGAGTCACAGTTTTGATTAACTTGACCTCTTTTTTGAGCCATGTCTTTTCTCAAGTGATTATTAAAGAAAATAATAGTGTTAATAGATGACAAAAGTATATGGAACAATTGTTATTCCCGATATAAAAGGCAATAGAAATAGCAAAAAATATATTAGGAAATTATAGCCTATTAAGACTTTCAAGGAATCTAAGCGATGGACGTGATTTGACTCAGACTTGTGTCTTACTTTTGATCTGCAAGATGAGGACTTGGTCCCACCTTTACTGTCTGTGCACAACAAGAAGAATTTCTCTGTTCACGTCACGTCAAGGTAATAAGCAAAATCTATGCATAGGCAGATCTGAACAGGCCATGAAACAAGGCATTATTTGTATTTAGTGGGAAATTTAGTCTAATCTGGACATCTAATATAATGAATATAAAAGATTAAATAAAAAAGAAAATTAAAAAAAGATAAATATATTAAAATACATTTTTTTTAAAACGATCTAAAAGACGTTATCGGATGTGACGTCATAGTCCACCGGAAGCCCTTAAAGGGATTGCCGGAAGCTGCTGTTGTTGACGATCGGACATTTTTCGAGGATCGTGAGCTTGGTCTTTTATTTTAAATAAATTTAATACAGCTGTGTATTTGTAGCAAAGTCGGCACAAATCCTAATACAAATCCTTCAGTGTTGCCGAGCCCAAAGCTGGGCTAGCATACGTTAGCCTAGCATCAACTATCTACAGCTAGTTAGCCTTAGCTTGTGTCAGTCGGCTAACTCACAGCAACTCAAACCCAGCGGAATTTTCTATAAAACCAAACACTAAGATTTTGAGCCATGGCTGTTGTCAACGAGGGCGCCCTGAAGAAGATGCTTAAGGTAAGTTTTAGGAGTTCTGCGTGGAGGTGTGAGGATGAACTATCTGAGCTTTCCCAATATCATCCGACAAACATGTCCTCAGCTTCTAAACACAAAAGAACCAACCATTTCCTGGATATGAGTAATAAAACTGGTGAAGTGCATTGTTTGGTTATGGTATCAATTTACTATAAAGACCTTATCTAACAACAAGTAATAATAACAACATATTTCTGTGATTTTAATACATTAATTAGCATTACTTTGCCTCGTGCTTCAGAGTTACATTAAATGATCTTATTTTTCTTTTCTAGCAATATAAATACAGAGATTTGACTGTTCGTGAGATTACTAATGTCATCTCTAATTACAAAGATCTAAAGCCAGTCATGGATGCGTATGGTAAGTGACATCAATGGCATCACACTTCAACAGTTTTGTTTTCCCCCATGTGTATATTATAATATTGTCCTTATTTCTTGTTTTGCAGTGTTTAACGATGGTTCTTCAAGGGATTTGATGAGTTTGACAGGAACAGTTCCAGTAAGTTACAGAGGTAAGACAAGATTCCATTGTTTTTAGTGGCCATTAGACGAGATAAGAGGCCTCTTTATTGCCTCATTCTCCCATCGGTAGTTATATATTATATGTAACTAGGGATGATTTTATTTTTTTATATGTATTTGGATATAAAAAATGTTAAATGTTGACTATTTAAGAGCTTAATATAATAAAAAAAAATCTATGTGTTATTCTATGTGTGTTTATTTTGTGCACTTCTTTAATTTTTATTATTATTTTTTTTACACCTTTCCTTGTAGGTAATGTCTACAACATCCCAGTGTGTTTGTGGTTGCTGGACACATATCCCTACAACCCACCCATTTGCTTTGTCAAACCTACAAGTGCAATGATGATCAAAACTGGAAAGCATATTGATGCCAATGGCAAGATCTATCTGCCTTATCTTCATGAATGGAAGCATGTACGTTTCATCAAATTACTCATAGTTTTATGTTTGGTTTTTTTTGGTGTGTGTGTACTGAGACTGAGTTAACTGACTAACACTATGTCTCCAGCCTCAGTCAGACCTCTATGGGCTGATCCAGGTGATGATTGTGGTGTTTGGAGAGGAACCCCCAGTGTTTTCACGCCCCACCACACAGGCTCCATACCAGGCCTTTCAAGCGGCTGGACCTCCCAACCGTGAGTGTAACAAAAGTCAAGCTTATCTCAAGTGGTCAGAACAAATACCTGCAATTCAATTCAATACAATACAATAACACGGCCTAGCACTTCTTTCATAAAAGTGGTGTTGCAAAACCTTTCTTACGCTGTACAACATTGTACAATTTGATTTTGCAATCTAACTCCTGATTGTACCCCCTACTAAAGGAAAGTCTGGCAATAGCTAACATGTTAAGTTTTTCACTTTAAGGGTTGAATTTGGTTAAATTGTTAAATGTAAGGACACAGTTATCTTACTGTTACATGACATGATTTTACATTTAATTTTTGTAAGTCAATAGCTAAAATATCAAGAAAATAAATAATATACTTTCGCTAGTGAAATGTATAGGAATAGTATGATGTACATGTCACTACCTCAACACTAGATGGTGCTAACACATCAGTTTATAACCCACAAAGCTATCTAATACCAGTGAGAGGAAAAAAAACGCTCCTAACTATAGTAGTTCTAATCTAACGGCTTTATTCTTTTGACCTCAGCTTCTTACATGCCTGGAATGCCTGCTGTGTCTCCTTACGGCCCAAATCCCAACCCAGGGTAAGATATTGTGAAAAACAGTTCCTCAACCACTGATTTTGTAACATTTATATCCAGTATAGATGAAAAAGTTAGAGAATCAACATAAACTGTTTATTTGCAGAGGATATCCAGGCTACCAGTATCCAGGAGGAAACTCATACCCCGCCTCTACTGGCCAAGGACATTACCCGACTCAGACCCCAGTCTCAAATGTTGGTACGTATTCAAAAGTGAAGTTTTACAATAACGAGCAGAGCCTCTAGTCAAATCCAAATCCACTTTATTTATATGGCACATAAACTTATTAACATACAATAGTTTCCAAAGTGCGGCACAGTACCTGGCATCATTAAGATAATAAGTTACGTAATTCACATGATGACACACCTTTTTCAAGTCTGCTGGTCTTTAGATGACCCGTCCCAACTGCTGACCTTTTAAGTGAAACATTATTTACCCCTGTATGACTTTGGTGCACGAGGGGCAAATGAAAGGTCATTGGTGTAATAAGAGTGGGGTGCATAAAGGCCAAAGGGGAGGAGGGCATGGGGCTCACTGTACACCCAGCTCTTCCAGAGTGCACAGTTCTATATTTAGTGTTGTTACAGTCGCACAAAGACCACACATTATGGCATCTGTCGATGACGTCCTATTTAAAGAGGAAGTAACTTTGATATTTGAAAGGCTATTTTGATATTTGATGGGCCACTCTCAAAGTAGCATGCAGTAGTTTATTAGTACAGTACAGTTAGTACTGTTGCATAACACAGGCATGGCATTCCTTTTAAATGCTATTATTTTGCCCAAAAAGTATTCTTCAGAATAGTCAATAATAACATTTTATAATCAATCTTAAACCATGAAATATTCTTACTTACGATAGGTAGATAGATAAATAGTACTTTATTTATCCGGAACGGAAATTTATTTTACAAGCAGCACAATGATACACAATAATAACATCAGTAATTTAATTTATAGAGAAATGTCTTTTGTCTTCAGGGCCAAACAGAGATGGCACCATTGGGGAGGACACAATTCGTGCATCTCTCATCTCTGCTGTGAGTGATAAACTTCGCTGGAGGATGAAAGAGGAAATGGACAGAGCTCAGGCAGAACTAGATGCTTTGAAGAGAACAGAGGAGGATCTGAAGAAGGGCCATCAAAAACTTGAAGAAATGGTATCAAGACTTGACCAGGAAGTGGTAAGCATGCTGTCTGAAATATTTTACTTTGTCATTTTGCCTTTGCTCATGTGTTTGTCATTTCTCTAGGCTGAAGTGGACAGAAACATAGAGCTGCTGAAGAGGAAGGATGAGGAGCTGACCGAGGCCTTAGAGAAGATGGAGAACCAGTCAGAAAACAATGACATTGATGACGTCATTGTGCCCACTGCACCACTGTACAAACAGATCCTTAACCTCTACGCTGAAGAAAACGCCATTGAAGACACAATTTTCTACCTGGGCGAGGCTCTGCGCAGGGGCGTCATAGACTTGGAGGTTTTCCTTAAGGTGCATTATCCTTTCTCTTAAATTCGTCCACATTTTTTCCCAAAGTTGACTTTGCTTACATTTTTTTTCTTGCAGCACGTTCGACTTCTTTCCAGAAAGCAGTTCCAGCTCCGTGCCCTTATGCAGAAAGCGAGAAAGACAGCTGGCCTCAGTGATCTCTACTGACCCCACTTTTTCTCTTGTCCTTCTCTATATTTGGGAATTTTCTATACGTCAGTCATCATAATTTAATTTGTCTCTTTTGTAAATCCTAGCTGTCAAAGTAGGTGTTTCATAGTACAGTCTGTTGTTTTTGGACATTTGATTTTTGAGTTTGACCCCAAAGCAAAAAAAAAAAATATCCGGATGATTCATTGTTGGCTGTGGAATTAAGTATCCATATATATGATTTGTATTAAGATTTTGCTTGTTAAATCAAATGATTCAAAGATGGCTGCAGCAAAGCCTCATAAGCAAATACAGAAGTCAGAAAGTTTGGTGGACATGGACAGTATCCAAGGGTGTTTTTACATAAGCCTATTAACACCCATGCAGTGACCAACAACGTCCCACTTTTTACTGGCACCCACCAATATTTTGCAAGCTTGCAGAATATGCCAAATTTTAGTGTACATCTCCAGAATGAACATGTATTTTCTATACTGCTACTTTTTATGTTCCATCTCTTTTCCATGTTGTTTGTCTGAACTTCTTCATGAGACTGGGGTTTGTGCAGGTACAAGTTTTAACTATTGTATTAATCCAGACATTAATTTATGTTTTCAGAAGGACTTTCTTAATTTAGCCTTTTACTAAATGCACTTTGAACTGTATTATAGATTATCTGTTTATTACTTTCTGACACCCATACAAAACATTTATATTTCTCTAGATTTATGTTAAATAAAACTTCTGCCCTAAATCATGCATTACTTTCATTTGCATTACTAGTTATATAATAGAACTCAATCCGGTGAAGTTCAATAGTCTGTAGTATACTATAGTCTGTGTGTTTGAGGGCCGCTGAATCAGCCATTCCCAAACAAACAAAGGGACAAAGGCAGTTATCCTGTTATCCTGGCAGATTTATTTGATGTCACAGCAAAATAAAAAAATCAATGTGCAGCTGCCACCACAGGTACAGGATCTGATCTAGAATAGAAATCTAATGCAACATTAAAACATAAATAGAGCTCAGTATAAACGAATAAATACCATCACCATTGGCGCCGTTTTACCAGAGATAGAATGACTCATGTTACTCTGGAGGGTTTATGGTGCACATAAAACCAACACCTTTCCAGATTGTTAACCATATCAGCATAGTCCGAGCAGGTTCCTTTGCTGTTGAATCTCGTTCTTGTTGTGTTCACACAAAATGTTTATTATTAGGTTCGGCTGTATCAGTGCACTTTAGTGGACTAAAAGTTATAAGTAGAAGACGTCCCATAGCCACAGAGTGCTTCGGCATCACAAGAACTGGCCCAGTGATATGCAGCAGTTAACAGGCTGCAGAGGACACCTTTCTCACAGAGAATGGAATGTCACCATTTTGTGGTAGATAAAAATCAAACAGATTACCATTGGAAATGACCCACTGGTAACAACTACATACACTTAAATACAATCTACAAGCAGGGAGTGCAGCAGCAGCAGCAGCAGTACAGTACAGTACAGTGACATACAGTAAGGTACATACAGTATGGGAGTAAACTGCCGTTTTAAGTTATGGTAAGTTCAGTCATGGCAGGAAAAATGTGCTAATAAGAACATGAAATGAGTAACGTTTTTAAATATTAGACAGATAATGTAGCTCATTCACAAACCCTTGACCTTTTAAGAACTGGTCTAATACATTGTTGCATGTTGACAATGGACACAATTAGTATGTTTAGGAGTGATCTCCGGCCAGTAGGAGGAGCCTGCTCACAGAGTGAGCTCTTTCTGTACTCCCCACAGAGTCTCAGCGCTCTTCCTCAGCTGCTGCTCTTCATCGGGCTTCAGGGTCATGTTGATGACGTCAGTCAGACCACTGTTACCCAGGACACAGGGCACACTCAGGAACACCTCCTCGCCGATTCCATGCATCCCCTGATATAGAGAGAAAGTGTTAGTTTGTAGCACGAGAAGCATCATTAGGAAGAATAAAAATAATAAACATTTTTTTACCTGGACCAGGGTGGACACGGGCTGCACTTTGTGCAGATTCTTCATGATGCTTTCCACCAGGTCGGCCACAGACAGACCAATGGCCCAGGAGGTGTAGCCCTTCAGCTTGATGACTTCATAGGCTCTGTGGGACAGGCACAAAAAGGTCAGACTACTTACACACATATAGGCCATGGTCCTATATAAGAAAAAACAGACTAATAAAAATAAGTGCAATAAAATAACACTGAGCTGCCTAGTGTTTAAAGATGGTGGCAGGTAAAAGTAGCTGAGGTTGGCAATCTGCCAGCCTTGATTCACAGCCATGTCAAATTCCTCACAAGGGCTAGTCTGTTACCAGGTCTTAAAAGCCTTTTTCATGGTTTGAACCATAACAGAACTGGATACATTTGATAAAAGCTTTAAAATGTGTCAAAAAAAAATAATAATTTTTTTTCATATTTAGGACAAACACTGCACTCACCCAGCAACTACTTGTTTGTGAACTTCTTTCCAGTTCTCACTGTCAGAGTCTCCTCCCATATTTGGGTTCAGTGCCTGCAGTGACACTCCAGCGACATTGACTCCACTCCAGACAGGCACTAAGAATTTAAATGTACATCACTTACATGACCATGTACCCAAGAGCTTTACATAACAGCCATTTGTTAGAGGCAGGTACATACCACTGGAGTCTCCATGCTCCCCAATGATCCAGCCATGGCAGCTGGAGGGGTGCAGGTGGAGCTTCTCTGCCATCAGGTGGCGGAAACGAGCAGAGTCCAGGTTTGTTCCAGACCCGATGACACGATTGCGGGGGAATCCACTCAACTTCCAGGCCACGTAAGTCAGGATGTCCACTAATAAACAGGAAACGCACAATGATTAGCCCATTCTCTGAGATCAAAGAAGAACTGTAACAAAGCCTTAGCTTGTGTGTGTGTCAAACCTGGGTTGGAGACCACCATGAGGATGCAGTTAGGGCTGTACTTGACAATGTTCGGGATGATGAACTTAAAGATGTTGACGTTGCGCTGCACCAGATTCAGACGGCTCTCGCCCTCCTGTTGACGGGCTCCAGCGGTCACAACCACCACTTTGGAGTTTGCCGTCACACTGTAGTCTGTTGGTAAAACAACAGTGTAAGTAAAAAGTTCCCTAATAAACTAAACAACTTGATTTCATCCTATTACTACCTTTGTCCGCCACAATTTTGTGCGTCTTCAGGAAAAGGGAGCCATGCTGTAAGTCCATGACCTCACCCTTGAGTTTGTCCTCCATTACATCAACCAAGGCCAACTCATCACACAGATCCTAACAAACAAACATACACATAGGTTATTTTATAGGTAACAATTAGAGGCAGTTGTTATTTTTTTTTATAGTCACTACTTCTTATATATAGTGTGGAATGTAGCGTTTCCTGTACTAACAAGAATGGGCTTGCTAAAATGCTTTGTCATGGTTCCAAAAAAAACTTGAGCATGTTGCTATTAAGTGGGCATATTCATATGTTTTGTAACATGTGTGGGATCATTATTTAACTTTTTGTTCTTTATACAACCAAATTATTAATCTAAAACTGCTTAAATAACAGAATTGGTCCAATAACTTAAGAATTGCACAATATATCCCTTATAATAATACATATGTGAATGAGTGAAGTACAGGAAAAATACAGGTTCATATAGCCCTATCTATAAGAACAGAGCTGAAGTAAATATTTTACACACAAGAGGTGGGGTGAGCAAATATAGATATGATATATGGTAGTTTTGACATGTGATATACTGCATACTGACACAAAACTAACTAGATAAGACTAGTCCTATGACACACAACACATATGCGCTATGCTATAAGATAAGAGTGGCTGTAAAACAGTCTGTACGTCTAATAAATGTTGACAGTTTCTTTTGCAGACAGTGTTATTTTCATCCCACCTTGAGCAGTATGCTGATAGCGGAGGCCATTCCCACCATGCCAACGCCCACAACTGTCACTTTGTTCCTGCAGCCAACTGCCTCCTCCTTGGACACATGGCTGATCAGCTTCTCCTTGGTGGACATCTGCATGATAAAAGACAACAGGTGTAAGATAGAAAGAGAGTGTAAAGAGTGGGAGAGATACGCTTCTGATACTTTATCTGACTTATTGTGCAGTCCAGTATTTCATCATTACCACACAAAAGACACTGACATTTGAGTAACCTCTGTCTAAATATATCCTGTCATGTGATTTCCTAAAACCATTTTGGGGACGGTTTGTTCTTTCGTGCGCCATTACCATTTTGGGGGGAACCAAGTACTCCCTAAGAAGTATTGCATCCCTGTATCTAGTCTGTGTGTACTGCTATTTCTGCTCTTTGGCACAGCAGACGGGGAAGCAGACTCACGCTCGCTGCTGTTACATCATCAGTAACACCGGGCCTTGGCGCAGCGATGGGGAACACAGAATTTCACTCTCAAGAGGATATTAGCTCAGTACTAGGCCTATATTTTAACTAGGCCAGTCATACTCAATATCCTTTCATCCAATTATCGCTCTCCTAAAAGCTTACACTAGACATGCATGACACTTTCCTGAGGCGATGTGCCAAAAAAAGAACCAATTTTTATTTTACTCTAAGAGGTTTAAACAAAACAATGGCCAGCAATGTCACCTCAATAGTTTTTGGTTTTAATCTTGCTAAAAAAAACAAAAACCAGTAGCATTAGGCTGAGTGAAATATGATCACAAGTTGGGCTACCAGCAGCACCTGACCGTACCAACACAGAGGAGAATGTACCCATATCAAATTCTGCCACTGCAGTCTAGCATCACCAAGGCCAATGGAGCAGACAGGCCCATCCATGAACCTGCGCTTGACTTGTTACATCGCCACATCCAGAAAAGCAGAAGATACGGTCTATCAGAAACATCATAAAATAAAGAGGTGTAGCAGTATATTGCCATTTCAACTTCCATTTGAAAGGATGCCAAGCCTAATCAGCCTATTTCCTCTCAACAAGTTGGCTGTCTCTAAGCACAGATGAGCTTCTTGTTTCCTCAAACCGTTTTCACGCCTCCTCCAATTACTGTGAATAAAGCAAGGCATCGCATTACATGAACAATACCATAACCTGTAGAAGAAATGTGAAGCTTTTGACAGTGGTACAAAAAGTACCAGTCACCTATTCCATTGATTCATTTAGGCACGCCCCTTTTAATCCAGAAATGCGCAATAGACTGTAACCGGATTAAAGCGACCAAAAGGATAAAATGTAACATAAGGCTGGGAGTAATATGAGTAAAATGTGAGATTGCAAGTGCCTTACCGTGGTGCTGTGGTGGATAGCTTCTTTAAATGAGCTAGTGGAATGTGAGCGCCTGTGTAGAGCAGCGATTTCCGCAGACTGCAGTCGCACATGGGAAGCGAGGCCGTATTTAAGGTCGTCTGCATCCGCCGCTACGTCACACACGCGCAATGATGTGTCAAGGCGGTGCATGTTTGGAGTCACGTCCTCCAGCAGCCGCAGCGCAGAGGATACCCCATTCAGACAGGCAGCATCATGCCCAACGCGTGTTTAAACTGACACAAAACACATTCAAACACGAACAGGGGTGATATTGTACAGTGGTATGTGCTCCCTATGGACTGGCGCTATCCAAACATCCAAAATCTATAAATTTTCATGAGCAATTAATTCTCTCATTCTGGACCAAAAACTACACGTGAAACGCTTCATGGATACGCGTAAACTTTGAAAAATAGCAACCTAAAATGTCTTAAATAAACCAGATAAATCTGGTTAGGTTTAGGTGTTGCCAGGCAAGGGTTGGGCTATTTATTCGGCAGGAAATGACTTGGCTCATTTTACTACACGCACGGTACGTTTGAAGGGATTTTTCCACTCATTGTGGGCTGCTCACTATGAGTAATCTAACAAGAATTGAGACAGTCGATACAATTAGAGCATGTAAAAAGAAACACCCCCAGTTGCCCCTAAAATGCGATATTCTCGTTGCAGTAATAACGGAAATACTTGAATGTCATAAATTGGAGCTGCAGAAAGGTGCCATTTTACGCGAGGGGATGAGAGTCACATTTGGTTATGTAACCTTCTTATCTAAAGCTTCCTTGTTTCGTTTGGCTCCATCTATTGGTCATTTTGTACAGTTGCAATAAGGCCGCACCTGTACTTCTTTATTTGTTTAGATTTTTTGATAGTGTGCGTAAAGACAAACCTCACCGCCACCCAGATCGCGTGATGCCACTCTCGTGTGCCAAGTGCAATCATTTCATGACATGTACTACTACAATAGCCACGCTGGATTTTATTCACCTGATGCAACAGAGCCACAATCCCTTCACCAGGCCTTTGTACAGTCACGTAGTCTGCTTAAAAGCGCACTGCAACTTCTCTGGTGGTTTTCTGGTTTGGTTGTCGAGAGAGTAAATACACTGAAAAACCTGCCCTCATCTGCGGAAAAGCAAACCCACTCACAGATGTGACCTATATCGTGGCCTGGAGGCATAACCTGCTAGTCTCTACTGAGGTTATATAAATGCCATACTGTGGACCATCATGGTAATAAGATCTCCATGGAGTCAGACCCCCATCACAAAAGTTACATAGTGTACCTTTAAGTTAAGACTAACAGTGGCAAAGCACACTCACTTCTCTGAAAGAGACAGTGAAGTGAAACTGGCGTCACAAAATGGAGTGAAAGCACAAACTGACTAGACCTAGAGCCATGTGCTCTTGGGAGGTGAGTTAGTCAGAGAAAATTATGACTTATAATTCTATTTTTTGTTAGGAGTTTAAGTGGAAATATTACCAGATAAAATAGGCCACATGGAAGTTCCTAAGCTGTTTATAATGTAAAATAACTAAGGCTGTAAAATTATAATACAGTTGGGTACCACATAGACCTATAGCTATAAAGTAGGCCTACATTTTCAAATGAAAAAACAGCCTAATTTTTTTTAATCCTATTCAAATTAGGTACTACTTTTAATCACAATTACTACATTACATGGACATTTTTAAAGGTTAATAATAAAAACATTAAAAAAAATTAAAATAATTGAATCACCAAAGCTATAGGCCTGTCACGTGAATCTCTATGGACTTATTATTCCATATATGAAAGATGGAACAATAATTTTGAGGGATCAGTATTTATCATGGTACTTTTTCTTTTAACTAACAGGGATTTTTTGTTATCTTTCTGTCCTTTGATCTGCAAAGGGGTGAATAAATAATTGCTATGACTCATTGTAGATATAAAATCCCTACTAAAGTGTTTAATTCTGTTTTTTTTTTTTAAGTAATAGTAGTTTTTAGACATATTATAGTTTTAGAACAGTTTTTGTGGTCTAATCCTGCTTTTGGGTTACTGTGTCAGAAGCATGAATTAACATCAGTATTATCATTTATTGTCTCTGTTTTCTTCAACAATATATACTACTTTAAAAAGTTAACATGACAGACCTATCCAAAGCAGCATCCTGGGAAAAAAAACAAAGGATGCACACAGTCCTCAATGGGCATGCATCTCAAAGAACCAACCCCCGTCTCATCCTTACCAAAGCTATTGTATTATGGGTTTAACACAGAGAAGGCAGCCCCTCACCCGACACTCCTCTACCACCTCCCCAAAGATCCCTGTTGTTTCTTTCTCTAAACAGACAAAAGGTCAGGACAGGCCCAGCTGCTCTGGCTCTTCTTACTGTATCGGAGTGTGTGCTGACCAGCTGGCTTCATTCAAACACTCCAATGCCAAAATCACTAGAACACTGCCGAATCTTGTATCTTCTATGTTACGATAAATACTATTAAGTTTATTGTTCAATTAAAGATAGTGCAGACTTTTGTGATTTTTCTGTACTATGATACAATTTGAACCGTAGACGATTGAATTAATGTCATTCTTACTCATCATAGATACAAACTACCTGCTGGATGATTATGATTCTCCTATTTAATTTATTGCAGCCATAGTTTGTACGTAAAAATAGACATGAGTAACCAACTACCCGCTAGGAAGTAACCATGGGTGTGTTTCTAGTTCCATGGTATGAGTGACGTCACACTCCTTTAGCCCATTTCTTTATACAGTTTATGATTGCAGCTCATGGTTTTGTTTGTTTTTTAATAAAACAGTATATTTCTCAGAATGTGTGAGTGTGAAATGGCCTACCCCTTTTCTCCTAAGAATGTTGAAAAGGATCGTGCGTTGGCACAGTTTTGGTAAATGAAGAATCCTTGGCACGATCAGAGCCTGGCACACCTGTATCTTTTGTTTTGCTTTCTCCCCACATCATGACAATTTAATTAAAAAAGATTACATACTGAATGGAGATTTTAGTTATACAAGCAAAAGCAGCTGAGCCCATCCCCACTGTTAAACCCCACAGACCACACACCCTCATGTGATTATCACATCACTTAAGGTGTGACAATGCATATTTACCAAACATGCAAACCAACAAGGTCAGTTTAACAGAAAGAGGCTCACCAAAGTGTAGTCTAAATTTAGCCTTACTACGAAACTGCTGACATGTCTAGAATCCAGAACTTTCTCCAGCAGCAGAGAAAGTCACCCTATTTTTGTTTATTTTATTCCTGTATATACTTTGGATTTACATCGTGAACCCATTAAAATGCAAATAAACACATTTACAATTTCCCTTTCTGTTCCAACCTATAGTAGTCCTATATTTTTTGATGTAAGCCATGTGGACTGAAGTATCTTAGGCCTATTGACACTTGTGAAGTCTACAACCACTTTCTCATTCAACAGACAATCAAAAATATAATACATGTCATGACACAATGTAAATTAATTAGAATTCAGTCGATTTGGCAGCAAGAAAGCGCCTACAGATCATGAAAGCAGGAGGGGAATAACTGAAAATGCCACCATCATCACATGTTACCTTTTCTCTTCAGACTACAGTTTGATTGAGACATGAACTTTTTTTTTTTTTTTTTAACCTAACAGACAATTTTAGATCACCAAATCCAGCCTATCATCAGTCAAGCCCAACGCGAGCATTTTAGGCCCTTCAGGTCAACAAACTCGACCCACACCGCGTCACTAGGCCGCTACGCAAAAAAACACACGTCTAGCTCAATAGTTCTTTTACCTTACGCTAAGAAATAAGAATAAAATAAAAAAAAAATACGTGCCTTTTGTTTGGCGGTGTGGTCGCTGTCGCAGGGTATGATCGCAGATGGGCTCGGGTGAGAGGTCACAAAGGTCATACAGATGAAGTTACACACAGCACATTGTATAACAGCGCCCCCTGTTGACAAGACCTATGCTACACTCAGAAGGAGGTTCATTCAGTTGGTCATTCAAACACCGATTTAAGACCTAATATAAGACCATTTGTTTGGAATAGTTGACCTGTGTCTTACATTTTAATAGACCTATCGTCAGGATATGGCCAAATGAAACCTAATGTTGAACTAGGCTTCAGTAAACTACCCTATATAACTCTTAAATTAGCCAATACCAAAAAGTAATAATCTAATCCTACAGTGAACAGGTTCCACAATAGCAGTGTCTCACCTGTGATCCATGGAGGCTCGTAACATAAACTTCATATAACCTTCTTTATTTCATGCTGAACTCAGTCTAAGGTGAAAACTGTAGCCCTTTGCTTTTGTCAACATAATCAGGATTAGAAAGTAGGTCAAACACAAATCCCGTTTATTTCTCCTGCCTGTATTATCTCGTCTGCAATGATTATTCGGCCATTATTTTAATAACAATTCTCTTGACGTTGATTGTATTATTTAAGGTTAAATATAGGGTACGCAGATTTTTATTTATTTAAAATTGTATAAGCATGATGATCTGTGTCCCTAGATAGGAATTTAGCTTTTACTCATAACAACCATAGACTGTAACAACTGGCTTATTCTTAAATACAAAAGCACTGGACATGATGGCCTTTTTTAAACCTAATTTGTTAATTCGGTTCTTAAGGCGATTATCCAATCAGAAGGCAGTATGAGCATCACATGAGTCTAATATTTGAATAACCAAATATAGCCTCTGACTGAGTGAAATCTGAAGGTGTTGAGCTTTCACATGAGCCATGGCCTGTCCACATAATGAGAATGAGAAAAAACTTTTCAAGCCAGGCTACAAGCGCAGGCTACAAACCCTTCTTTATGTAGACACAAAAAGCCTCTTGACTGTTCGAGGAAATACCAGCAGAGGGCGCCACTTCACAAGGAATAGATCACCAGTTTCTTATTTTATTGCTGAACATAACTTCTTTTACCATTTATAAACCATCTCTTTATTATTTGCATTTGTAACAGGTTAAACTGAGTGGAAATTAGAGAGTCACGGAGGCTTGTCACATGCACTTTGACTGACTTTGTTTTATTTCATTGTTTATTTATTTTTAATATGGAGTGCACTTAAGTGTGCCATGCATATATACAGGTAACTTTTTAAATAGTATTATCTCTT